GCTATTCTGGATAATCATACAGCATTTGAATTCCTTTAAATTGTCTAAGAGTTAGAATTCATTTTTTGAACAATCGCTGCTCTATTGAAGGATATAAAAGTCTGTGTTCTCTCTTTTCATTTCTCCTTCGTTATGTTCAAACTGGTGCATAATTCAGCTTCTTTCCTTATTCATTACTTGTACAAAAGGCCTTGGTTCTATTTAACTTCTTACGTAAAGATGTAAAATTAAGTATAAGTAAAATATAGAAATATAACTTTACATTTTCTGTCTGTGATCTTTTCCAGACGATTAGCCTTACGTTTTCTGTCTGTTTAATTCTCTTCTCTTTTGGAAGAATTATATTCTTCAGACCATTGTTCGACTTTTAATTAAATGTTATTATTTCATGAAACTGTGCAGTGCTTTTGTCAATTTGCTTCCGCCTTCTCTACCTTTATCAAGTTACAGTAAATATGTCATCCAAAAAGTTGCATGGAGCTGAATTGTGTGTGTCATCTGCAGAGCAGCAAGCTAAGGTTATATTTATGAGATGAGATTCTGACTATTTTTTCACAATCCGGATCAATATATATGCACGTTTAAACATCTACTTCCAGATACTTTTGTAAATCATGGAGGTGATTTTAATGACGGAGTTCTGCACCAATTTTAAATCTTTAGTTTCTGGTGTAGTAAAACCTGAATAAAGGCCAACTTAAACTTTAAAAGTTATCGTTAACTTCTCCATTTTGATTGTTATCACTTTACGTTGCTAGGTGAATAAACTTTGCAAGATTTTCTTAGTCACATTGCAAATATTATTAAGCTGGGTAACCCCCACTTCAAATGTCATATATATCAGATTGCACTTCAAATGTAGTGGGAATTCAAATGATCCTTAATCTGAATCATGTGCTTACCTTCTTTGCCTACGAGTATTTTTCACAACCATCAAATTTTACGCTGTAATGATGTGGGAATTGGATGGTGTTAATAGGTTTCTTGCACATGATATTAAGTTTTAGGATTATAGGAATGCTAATGCAAATTGATCATTAGATGGGAACATAAAGCGTTTATGAGCTTGATATGTTAAATGTGTAATAATCCATTTCTTTGAAATCCAGATCAATGAAGTTAGAAAGTTGATTGGTCCTGCTGTTGACAAGTTTCCAGCAATGTGTTCGGATGCATCAGTTCTAAGGTTTCTCAGGGCACGGAATTGGCATACAAAAAGGGCAGCCAAGATGCTAAAAGAAACCTTGATATGGAGACTTGAATACAAACCAGAGATGATCCGTTGGGTACGGCTACAGCCCCTTTATTAAATAATCATTGTTCTATAATATTCATCTGTTTGCGTTTTTATATTAAATATATATGTTGATCAATAGTTTGTCTCTAATTAGGATGATATTGCTCAACAAGCAGAAACTGGAAAAGTTTACAAAGCCAACTACTTTGACAAATATGGAAGGACTGTTCTTGTCATGAGGCCTGGAATACAGGTACATAAATAATGAGAAGCAGTTCGCATGATTTTCTTTCTCTGATATCTTTGTATTCTCCTGGCTCTTTCAGAACCCACACTCAGTAGAGAAGCAAATGAGATATTTAGTGTATTGCATGGAGAATGCCATACTGGATCTAAAATCGGGTCAGGAGCGAATGGTTTGGTTAATCGACTTTGAAGGGTGGAACATGTCAAGTATATCAGTGAAGGTGACCCGAGAAACAGCACGTGTACTACAAGATCGTTATCCAGAGAGGCTAGGTCTTGCAATCTTTTATAATCCGCCAAAAGTTTTTGAATCCTTCTGGATAGTAGGTGCCTCTAACTTCTATTTACAGTTTTTTTTGCTAATAATGTATTCCACCACAACTTTCAACACTTCTAATAGTATTTTAGTATGCATTTTGCAGTTGGTAAAACCATTTCTTGAGAAGAGGACATACAAGAAAGTGAGGTTTGTCTACCCAAATGATGCACATACTCAAAAAGTAATGGAAGATCTATTTCATATGGACAAGCTAGAGTCCTCATTTGGGGGGAAATGCACACAAGGGTTTGAATATGTTGCCTACTCCAAACGCATGAAAGAGGGGGATAAGAAGATGTCTGAATTTGTTAAATCTGGTGTTCCATTGCCCTCTGACCAATATGTGACTGCTGAGACACGAGAATCCTCAGCGCGAGACAATAGTTTTGAGTTGTCTGAGGATGGTTTATCCTCTACTGATGAAACAACATCAAACTTGGAAAGTTCAGATATTGAGACTGAAGATCTGCAGATGAGTTGTAAAGATGAGGTCAAAGTTGATACAACTGCTGCTAAAGAGATAAAACAAAGCGAGTAGACACTAGAAGCAGCTATCTGTTCTCTCTCCTTTTCATTTACTCTTTCATTATTCTACATGATAACCTTATTTGGAGCTTAATTTACAAATTTCTGTAACAATTTGCAATTATATAATAGCCAACAACTTCCTCATAAAATGTATATTGGTGGTGTATTATTTGAAGATATTCGATAACTAGTACTAGTAGTTTTTGGCACATAGCTTTTGTGCAGAGAGATTAGTATAAAGATCATTTCTCTGTTTGTTTTTCAAGTTTCTGTTTATCTTCATTTTCTTTTCTTTCCTTCTCTTTCCCAAGTCACTGCCTAAAGTTGTATGCACAAATAAAAACAGACCAAAGTTAACAATATTTGCTGTGGAACTACAATATTAGCATTCTCATATAGTAACTGTCTAAAATGATCAATTGAAACTCTTTTAAGTATAATGAAATTATATAACATTGCCACAACACTATAAAAGTAGTACTATACACTAGATAGATATAGCAGTCTTTTTGTTGAGGATTCAAGAAGGGGAGCCTTGGAGTAACGATAAAGTTGTCTCCGTGTGATCTATAGGTCACACGTTCGAGCCGTAGAATCAGCCACTGATACTTTGCATCAAGGCACACCCCCTGGCCCTTCCCGGACCCTGCATAAATGTAGGATGCTTCGTGCACCAGACTTCCTTTTCTTTTGGTTGCAGATCCAACTCAGAATGTTCAGATCCTCAAAGCTCCGTAAAAGAAGGATAAATACTCCACTCACAAGGGAGGTAAAATTTGGTGAAATCCTTGATAAAGATCAGTCAAAAATAGAAACTTTCTCCAAATCTGCTTAGCAAATTCAGATTGGAGAGAATTTACTTTAAACTATATTTAAAGTATTTTTTTTTTCATCTTGTTGTAAATAACAACAATGATTGAAAAGTAAGTGTGTCAAAACTCCAGTTTCTACTCATCATAGTTTGATATTTAGCTTTTAGGCTGTTATTATTTGCATGCACTATACTGTACCAAATCAAATGCCTTAATTTAATACTATGACCTTTGTTTTTAAAACGCTAAATTTACAAGTATTTTATTCGGTATGACTAAATTGATTAATAAAAACTGAAAGATCTAAGAGAAAGGAGATTTATCATCCTTGGTTCTATTGTTCCAAAAATATATATCAATTACTTTTTGAAAGCCAACAAAAGAATTATTGATGAAGGTTTTAAACACACTTTCCTCAATTTGAAAGGAGTAAATTTTGGTATAACAACAACAAGTGGAGTTTGGAAAGGGTACGATATAAGCAGTGTTACTCCCACCTTGGGAGGACAAAGAGGCCGTTTCTGATAAATTTTGATATAAGTTATTTGTTTGAAGATTTTAGTGCCATATAGGCAAATACCATGTCTAATATAATTTTGAAAACTACTCTAATTCAACCAATTGAGCATCAATAAGTGAAATAAATAAATAAATAGTCAGGGTAACCGACTTTAGATTAGATTGACGTATAATTATTATTGTTATGGTTGTTAAATAAACAAAAAGTAGCTTTGATGAATATTGACCTTAAATACATATTCATGAGCTGGTCCAAAAATCTTTATACTTTTTTCCCCTTTTAATTGGTAATTCGTATGGTGTCACAATTAAAAGTAGGCTAAACTATAAGATTCAAAGTCATATGGTCCTGCCATTTACATTTCACAAGCCATCTCATTTGTTTGCACTCAATGGAGGTCTGAATCTTAATCATTCAGATCTCAGACGTTAAGTGCGTTTGTTTTTAAAGCCTGAATCTTAATTATTCAGATTTTAATCATTAAGTGTGTTTATTTTTTTTACTTCACAACTACTTAATGGATATGAATAGGTGTGTATGATTAAGATCTATAACTGAGACTTAATTTTATTAAGATGCTATCATCCATATTCATTATTAACTGCCGCCACCGCCTACCATTATCAACTAACACTGTGCCGCCGCCACCACCACCACACCACCATCATCATCAATCATAGCCGCCACCATTATCGACTATCACCACCCACCATCTCCACCACTGCCGCCACCATCATTCTCAACCACAATCAACACTCATTCACCTCAACTACCACAACTAACTATCCTATCACCATCAACAACCACAACCGACACTGCCCATCATTATAACCTACCACCACCCACCAACACATTCCTCAATCACAACTACCATCGCCACCCGTCATTATTAACTATCACCACCCACCGCCACCATCCTCAATCATAATCGCCATCATTACCAATCACCACTAACTACTACCCTTAACCACCATCGTCAACCAAAACTACCAACAACCACTGGCTTTAGTCGGCATTCACCCGTTAGCCATCACTATCAAACAACTATCCTATTTTAAAAAACTATATATTTTATTAATAGAATATTAGATTAATTAGTATTTTATTTAAATTTTATGTTTATTAATTTTTAAATAAAGATAAATCTTATACGTTCAGATGTTAAAAATCAAAAAGTTTTAATTATTTATTATTCAGATCTTAATACACATCATAATATTTGATTGTGTATTTAGATTCAAATGTTTTAAATGTTAACTAATACGTATCTTTTGATACTGAGATGTCTTAAAAAAACAAATGAGGCCTAAATCTAACAGTCATCCCAAGCACATGAAAAGGTTCATTATTAAACTATTATTATTGAACAAGTAAATCAAATCCTATTTGGCTGTTGTCTGATTCCTCATTCAAATGCCATTTTTCTTCAAACCTATGACCATGACTAATCATATCGATCAAAAATTACAGAACAGAAAGGGACCAAATTTACACTAGTAAATGACCAATACAAAGACCCAATATCCAGCAGATATTAATCAATAGGCTTTAGCTTAGGTTAAAAAGAAGCAGAGTTGTTGGGTTTTTGTGGATACTATCGAGATTGATCTCTATTTCAAAGCTGGTATGTATTTTCTCTTTGTTTAGTGTTTCTTGTTATTTGAATATAAAAATCTTTTCTGTGTTTTTCATATTTTCCTTTTTCTTGTCCTTTTTTGCCAGGACGAATTGGTGGTCATTGAATTTTGCATTTGTGTTTGTATTGATTTGTCAAAGGTGGGATTTTTATCTATTCTTTGTCTTGATCTAAAGGGAATTGAGTAATTGATCCTTACTTTAAAGATTTTGAGAAGAACTAGGTGGAAACAGTGAAGAAAAAATACATGTTCAGATCCCACTTCTGACAAAGTTGCCTCTTTTGTTCATAAAAAAACAAGAGAGATGGATATTGGATTGTCAAAGATTGGAGTTAAAATGACTAAAGCTGTAATCTTTCCGATTAAAGTGTGTTATAGGACAGTTTGGAATCATCCATTCCTTGTGTGTATGCTGTGTTTCTTGGCATTTCTGTACACATCATTTCCTTTTGTATTTTCCCTATTGGTGACAGTCTCACCTGTTCTTGTTTGCACTGCTCTTCTGCTTGGAACTTTGCTAAGTTATGGTCAGCCTAACATACCCCAATTTGAAATGGAAGAAAATACAGCTGATGGTATAATGCCTCTGAAAACTAGGTTGTCACGAGATGTTAGTCGTGTTGAGAGTGACAATAGATATACTGATCAAGAGAGGGATAAAGTAGACCAGTCAACTGATAAATCTAGCTTGCTTAGTGAGGTTCATAGAGGTCAAAGATTTGGCGATCATTCTCCTCTAGTTGATGGAGTTTCTCGGGAAGTGGCAAGGGAGTTTCATGAGCAGAAGAATGAAGAGAAAATTGGTGATGAGGATCTTATGGAGAATCAGTACTCTCCCTCCTCGAAGGCTGACGATGAGAGTGTTGAATTTGATAACGACAAATCAGTTGATTCCTTCGATTCTAGAAGGGTTAACCTTGATTCTCCTCCCGGTTCACCTTGGAAACAAAGGGAGGAGGAATACAACGAGGCCTTAGATTCAGGGTCTGATCGAGCAGAGAGCTCTTCTCCGGATGCTTCAATAGCTGATATTATGCCAATGCTTGATGAGTTGCATCCGCTTTTAGATGAAGACAATCCTCAACCTGTCAATATTTCGCATGATGTTTCTCATGCTGCTTCAGAGAGTTCCAGCGAGTCCTCCGAGGGTGATAATGAATCTGATGATGGTTCTGAAGACCAGGAAGAACTAGCAGCTGCAGATGATGAGAACGAAGACGAAGAAGAAACACGAGACAAAGAAGATCCAAAGTCTGCTATTACATGGACAGAGGAGGATCAGAAGAATCTAATGGACTTGGGAAGCTCTGAGCTAGAAAGGAATCAACGGTTAGAGAGTCTTATTGCAAGGAGAAGATCAAGGAAGAACATGAGTTTGATAGATGAGAAGAATTTGATAGACTTGGTAAGTGCTAATTTTCCATTAAACATCCCTCCCATTTCAACAGCAAGACAGAACCCTTTTGATCTTCCTAGTGATAACTATGACCTTGGACTGCCTCCTATCCCTGGCTCTGCTCCATCTATTTTATTACCGAGGCGGAACCCGTTTGATCTTCCTTATGACCCAAGTGAAGAGAAACCTGATCTTACAGGAGACAATTTCCAACAAGAGTTTATCACATCTCAACCAAAAGAGCCATTTTTTAGGAGGCATGAAAGTTTTAGTGTTGGACCCTCAATCTTTGGGCTGAACAAGCAAGACAAGAAAGATATACGCTTGAGACCTTATTTTGTTCCTGATATGATGGCTTCTGAAAGAACAAGTTATTCACCATTTCAAAGGCATCCTAGCGATCTCAGTGATTCTAAGGTAAGTTCTGCTCTTGAAACAGAGTCACAGGGTTCTATTGAAGATCTGGAAGACAAGAACCTCACTGAAGAAGATGTAGAAGACAAGAACCTGAATGAAGAACATATCTTCAAGGAACCAGAGCTGATATCTAAGATAGAGAATGCTGCTGATGATGTCGGACATGGAAGCCAATCCTCCGAAGAAGTTGAATGTCTGGTCCTAGGTGCAGCTGATAAGAGAGATATTGAACTCGATGACACTGATGTTAAACTGCAGAATGTGGAAAATCGTCATAAAGTGGGACCAATTGTGTTCCATGAAGAAACAGCGGCCAGTTCCATGGAACTTGATCCGTCTAAAATTAGTTCAAAGTCAGAAACTTCTGAACAAAAATTTAGTAGTCAGTCAAGCTCCTCTTCATCGTCAGAAGTAAGTGAAAGGACCTTTGCTGACAAAGAAGTAGTGAGATTAAGTTCAGAGGAAGCAATGAGTCATGTTGAAACCATCTCCGGGCAACCTTCACCAAATGGGTCAGATCTAAACATCACAAGCAATTCAGTGGACGAGAGCTTACATTTGGAACCTATTTATGATGCCAGTCCTCCTTCCATTAAGAAAAATATTTCTTCCTCCTCAATTGCTTCAGATCCACTTCCAGACTCTGAAATGGAGTTGCCCCCTGAATTGGTTAAAAGAACTGTTTCTTTTATTGAGAGGGAACCTAATAATCAAGACATTGAGAAGTCCATTCCGACTAATGAACGGATTCTTTCATCAGTAGATTCCCAAGAATTGCGGCCGAGAGAGCCGGTAATGGACAGAGATGATCTTGATGTTGCAAAGTCGGAGGTATCAAAATGTGATGAAGTCTTTGGCAGTGCAAGTGCTCCTCCACTACATGTACGAGAGACTCAGGCATCTATTGACTCAAAATCGTCCAAAAAAGTAAGTAGTATTATTCACTATTCAGTACTATAAATTACAAAAGCTTGAGGGATCAGCCCTTTTACAGACAAAGAGAGTTATGGTGCATGTTCTTTAATCTATTTGGACTAAATTGGGTGATACCGAGATCTTAGCCTTCATAATATTTTAATAAACCTTTTTTTAACTTCTCTTAAATTCTTCTTTATTTGAGATAATCGATCTTAATCACTTAATGGATTTGAAGTGACGTAACATAGGCCAAAAAATGTTGGAAATACATCATTTCCAATTTAACCAAACATATGTTTTAGATGATACACCATGTATTTTAATATATTGAACCAAGCATCTGAATACAATTAACACGTACAAATTTAGTAAATAATCTGGTAACTATAATACATTGTATTACTATCCACATATAGCAATCCGTGTATAAACTTGTCCTTAAGCAAGCATCCCCTTAGGTAAACTTATACATATTTTCCATCTTAGGAACATATGCACCCTTGAATGTCAAAGATATATTGTCACCACTGTTATAACCTTGTATTAACAGTGTGAGATGCTTTTGTTAAACTGTTTGAATGTGATGTCTAAGGTCAACTGATAACTCATAGTGATAGGACTGAAGATGATTCCCCCCCCCCCCC